GACTGGAGCGACCTAGGACACCCGGAGCGCAACCCGTTTAGCGTCAAGCTTCCCCTGCCGCCCCCGTTCATGGACAAGGAAGAAGACGTGGAGGCGTACATCACACGCGTATCTTTCTTCATCCAGCTTCACGCGTTGCGGTTCAGGACCAATGCTGACCAAGTCTACTTCTTCCTGCAAGGGTGCAGCGGCAAGGAGAGTCTCCTGTGGGCGGCACAGATCATGAAGGCGCACCTTGACGAGCGCGAGCGTTGGGAGCGCTTCCCAGAGTACGCAACCATCACGCAGGTGGTCAAGCTCTTCCGCCTTTGCTTCAGTGTCCTCGACAAGCAGCGCGCGGCACAGGCCAAGTTCGCGGCACTCAAGCAAGGCTTGCAGCCTGTGCGTTCATATATTGCTATGTTCGATCGACTCGAGCAGGACGCCGGCTACAACGATGCAGCGCTTGTCCAGGCATTCAGGCGTGGCCTTGACCCAGTCCTGCGCAAGAAGATCGACGACATGGCAGAGCCGCCTCGCACGATCTGCGGGTGGAAGGAGGTCACGCTCGACAAGGACGCCCGTCATCGTGCCGCGCAGGAAGAAGACAAGGTTTGCACGCACAAGCACGCGCAGTCGTCGGGCACTCGCGCAGAGGGACCTTCCTCTAGCCAGGCGCCTGCTCGCGTCCAGGCTGCCTTTATGCGCCTGACGGAGGAAGAGTGTGCGGACCTTTGCCACCGCGGAGGGTGCTTCTACTGCCGCAAGACCGGCCATAGGTTCTTTGAATGCCCGGAGCGCCCGGAAGGGAAAGGGAAGGAGAAGGAGAAGGAGCAGGTCGGGGTGCTCGCGATGCTTATCGCTCAGCTCAAGGATATGGGGAAGGAGGAACGGGCCCAGGTGCTGGAGGCCCTGAAGGACTTTTAGAACACTCTGCCGCCGCGTCGTCGTGCAGGGCTCTCTCGTCTCGGACTGATGAATGTACTACTACTGCTTGTGAGCACTCGTATCCTGAATGCATCTATGTTTCCGCTATCAAAAATGCGCAGAAACCCTCAATCGTATTCGCCGCCCAGCTAGTAGGACAAGTCACCGGACGTAAAATCGACGCCTCCGCCTTACAAGATAGCGGAGCAGAAGGCATCCTGGTTAATCACCGGTTTGCNATCGTATTCGCCGCCCAGCTAGTAGGACAAGTCACCGGACGTAAAATCGACGCCTCCGCCTTACAAGATAGCGGAGCAGAAGGCATCCTGGTTAATCACCGGTTTGCTAAGACTCAAGGCCTTACTCTTTCCCCACTCCCGCGCCCCATCCCAGTCCGCAACGTTGATGGCTCTGACAACGGGATGGGCCCTATCCGGTTTACCACCACTCAGACACTCCGTCTCCCCTCCCAGAATCAGCAATCGTACCATGAAGAGCGGGTCGAGCTGTTGGTGGCGGACATTGGCGATCACGATATTATCCTTGGAACGGACTGGCTCGACGCGCACAACCCGGAGGTCGACTGGTCACAGGACCGAGTAGACATGACGCGCTGCCCACCCGGGTGCGTCCTGGTCAACCCTCCGGTGACCAATCTTCGTACTACAGCAAGTCTCGAGGTACGCGGCGTACGGCTGGAGGAAGTGGTCGATGAGGGCGAGGCTGCACTCCGTTCATGGCAGCAGCAGCGCGCCCTCCCCGCAGACCACCCGCTTATCCTTGACACCGGTGACGACGCTCCCTCCTTGTTGTCTGTTCCACCACCACGCCAGCACGGCGTCTCCATGGTGGAGGTTGACGATGAGGAGGATCTACGCCTACGTCAAGAACTTCAGCAGCGACTAATCGACACCGCAATTCCTATGATGCACGTCGAACCGGACGTTCCCACCCCCGCCCCACGTTTGTTGGCCACTGTACAGCTAGACAACAACTACGTGAACGAGGATGAGCCGGTGGTTGAACACGTCATTCCGATCTCGGTAGACTGGGTGCTCCGCGGCTTGGAGCTCGCGCGCGTGGTGCCGGACATTGAGCATTGTACCTTCGAACCAGGCGATGTGCTCATGTACACAACCGAGTACACTGAGGACA